CTTCTATTTCGGCTTTTATCGGGTTCATTGTACTAAAGAAGAGTCAAGTAACCGTGATCACGAATATGCTTTCCTTGGTGGTTTGAGCTTAGTCATAAAACAAACCAAATCAAGTTTCAGATTCTATGATGGGGATTTCCCGTTTTGACAAAGTCCCTGGGCATTTGCATTCTGTTCCTCGGGCAAGACGTTCAAAAACATAGAAACATATGAATATCTTGAATGATTAATAAACCATCTTATCCGTTCTCTCTATCCATTTGTCTCCCTTTGTCTGCTTCCCCCCCACTCTCCCCCCCCCCCTCTCTCTCTCTTCTTACATCTTTCTATCTTCCTATTTAAATTTTAAAACGCTCTTCACTGATTTTAACGTACATTTGAAAAATGTATTTCTTTTATGTCTTCATAATCATCATCTCTTTCTCTCTCTCTCTTTTCTAAAATTCTCTTCTTAAGTTTATCCCTTTTCTCTCCTCTCCCCCTCTCTTTATTCTACCCTCGCTTCTTCATTTCCTTCATATTCTTCCACGTTAGGCGACAATCAACATTTTATTGTAAGCTTCTTAAACTCTGTGTGATTGGACGACAGTCGTGACTGGGTGTAGACTGGGTTTAAGAGTTTTGTACAAACATGCATGACCTAGCATTTACTGTATATTGATGGTTGAACTTGACCTCTACTTCCGTTCACGTGAATGGTCAAAACATCGATGTCACGAGTAATGTCTCCTCCGATGTAGGTCTATAAAAGAAGGACTCTCGTATACCTGCAAGTAATTGCATTTCAGAATCTCACAAATCCTACGCCGTTCCTCGGGTCAATAATTTCCCGTGCTTTAATCAGGTCATTACAGGTGATTGGAACCATACATGGAAAGACGTCGCTGGTCCTGTTTAGTACGGATTAGTAATATCAAGTGTACTCTCTTTGGGATGACACACCGTTTCCCGCCCCTTTCCGCCTTCTTCGTCCCGACTCAAGTTCTACAGAGATAGGAGACCCGTGACAACATCCAGGTACGAAGTCAATGCCCTTGATGAAGGCACCAGAGGGACTTATGCCCCAAGAACTTTCTTCACTGACTCCACTAATCAGGACAGGATCTGCAAATGAGCCAATTTTTCACGAGGTCATTTTCTGCATATATTGCGTGCGCCAAACGGAAAGGCTTGTCACAGCTTAATCCAGTGAAATAATATCTAATCTGAGTTCACTATTTTCTTTTATTGAATCAGGAATACGATGAATTACTGGAAATTAACGAAGGATTAATCTCAATCAAAGAACCGTGATCAAAATGGTACACCGTCCTATCCAATAAAGATTGTGAGAGGATTATATTCTAAATATCCTTTCAAAACTAGAAAACACATTATTAGTCATAATTATTGTCAACTTGTGTGCCTGTGTTGCACTCAAATAGATCTTAATATACATCCATCACCACAATAATGGTAGTCGTGATAGGCTTATGCCTCGGTAAAGATTTGTTATGGTTAATTTTTTAATGTCTGTCCATCTCCCTAACTATCTGACATGTCTTGCTTTCTTGCCGTCAGCTTTGCCATCATCTACCCCTTTGCATGTTTTACCTTACTATTGACTCCGTCTCTTCCAAACTTCCTATCCCTCTATATCTCCAGTTTACTGCTCTTCTATCCGATCTCTCACTCCATTTCCACTGATCTCTCTACCATCCTAAATCACTGTACACCATTTCAAAATCACTTATCATTTATCTCTCTGATACTCTCCTCCCTCCGCTATTAATTTTGATCTTCCAATGACGTCATCCAAATGCCTGTGTAATCCCTGCGTGTTACCTTTAAGCAGAAAGGATCTTCTTGTTGTTACTTTATATCATTAGTCTCGTTGGCAATTTATGGTGGTATTTTGTTTGTGATAGATAGACTATCTTGAAGAGTCTGTATGGCTTGGTTTGGATTAAGATGACATTTCATAATAAAATAACTGAAGAGGGTCAGTCTCTGGCCGACATGGAAACTCGGATTCTCCTTTGGCCGTATACACCAGATGCCCATTTTTATAAACGAACCCTTGATGGAAAAGGAATCGTTAATTTAAAGATCAATTCATGCAATAAACGACCCTATTTCTTTTGCCTCATTTATTCTTAACATCAGTAGCTTGTGTTGTAGGGTGAAGGTATTTTTAATTAAGAAGAGGAATAGAAGGGAAGGAGAGACGGTGATGGAGGGGAGGGGGGATGGGTGAAAAAATCACCCGGATTCACCATGACCTTGAATTTAAATTTAACGATACCCATTATAGAATAAAAGGCTTACTGCAATGATAAATTAGTTTTTCTATCGGTTTGAGTTTCAATGTCAATATCATCTATCTCAATAAGAGTGACCCTGTAGTGTGCTTGACGTCAACTATATCAAAGTTCTCTCTCTTCCCTTCTCTCTCTCTCTCTCTCTCTCGCTCTCGCTCTACCCTTCTTCGTAGAAGACTTGTGATGTAATAGACATGTATGACATCAAACTATTAACTGTTCTCCTAATTTTCTGCATAGAGTGTTGAAGGTCGCAGCGATTAATTGTTTATTTCATATCCCTATGGTAATCCTATTATCACTATTTAATGTAATCCTATTATCACTATTCAATGTAATACAGTTGCACTTAAACTTCATGAAAGGGATTCTGGGATTTATAGAGAGGGAGCCAGTAAAATCATTCATTTTGGGGTCACAATGCTTCCGTCGGATTGTTACTAGCAAAACGTATGCACACAAATAAAGTTAATTTACTTCACAAAAATAAATTCACAAGATAGAGACATAATAGATTTTGATATATATTATGAAAGGGGTTAATTTTCTTCCAGTTTAAGTAAAATCCTCTGCGATTTATTGCTAATGCCGTAGAGTCAACACATCGTTACCTGTAATCCAGAAGGCTATTAACCCAAACATATCTTAACGCCCAATCGCTGTCAACAAACGATTATTTATTCTGTCCTTAATCCATGAAAATATGCCATGTTGGATCAAAGTAAGAGAGACGCAAACCTGGCTTCAAAAAAAGTGGAACATGTAATTATCGGTCTTTTGAAAACCGCGCCTTGAGCTGCAGAATTTTTAGAACAATGGTTCTGAAAAAAGTCCCAATATTAATCTTTGTTTTCGATTTATCCTTTTCTCCCCCTCCCCTTCGCGCTCTCTCTCTCTCTCTCTCTCTCCCACTCTTTCTCCATATATCTCTTAAACATCTCGTCTTCTCATAATTATATGCCATGCAATCAATAACCAATGCCATCCTAAGCTTAAGCATTGTAGCTAACGATCGGTGTGATTGGTCAAAAGTCATGACTGTGGGAGAATGAGGAGGTGTGTAGAAATGCCTTATTGATCCGACTGGGATTGAGTCCACGGATAGTAGACAGATTATAGAGAAATTACTTAATGGCTTCCTATTAGTGATTCCATTGAATAGTCAGAAAAGGGAGTAAAATTGGAGGTGTTTGGATTTTAGTAATCACCTGACATTAGAATCACAATTCATTTTATTCGCCTGCCACAATGATCAATGATAGAATCCTGACAACACTAAGAGCAACAGTGGGGTTTTAGGCTAGTGATTAGGAGTGGTGTTATGTTTTTATTGATTTTGATTTGTTTTATACTTTACGATTAATTTCCGTTGAACTCGATGTAGGGAACGGACGACCATGCTCCTTTTTTAGTGGGTGATTACCAAGAGACATTGAATGATTATAAATCAAATCAAATCAAATCTAATCAAATTATTGCGTTTGAGATCAATTTTATCAGAGCAGCTAGCTGACGTCCCTTGCTCAAAATCATTTCTTCAAGCCGATTCTATTTTTTTCCAAGCGATTAAAAATGGTAAACTTAATTTCTGGGCGATGTAATTAATGTAAAAATGGAAACAGACACCCTCACTCACTACATGAGGTGGCAGATGCCCGAATATTTGCAGTATCCTAATTCGGGGGTGGGGTGGGGGTATTCCCCTCAGTCCGGCCTCGCATGCCAAATATTGTTAACTTTGTATCCAACTGACTAAGATGAAGCAGCATAGTGGACTGAGTTATCACAACGCATCATGTATATCCTTCAAGTCACATGACTGAGGATATTACACATTCTTGCTATTAGAATGCCGCAATGTCAAATATGTATTTCATGCACAATAACATCAACATGAAGAATACTATTTTCCACTATTCAGCATGATTCCCATATTACTGGCTGTCAGATTATAACTCAATCTATACCCCTGCTACCATAAATTTCCCTCATGATTATCATGTAAATATTATATTTCCCACCTGTTTGTAAAAATTCCTTGCTTACAAGGCAGTCTTTAGGGAGCTGTTCTATCAAGTAGAAATACTGGTTGCCATATAGTTCGCTACGTCCGCAAATTGGCCATGATTTATGAACTGTTCAGCCGAATGATGACGTATGTGTCATCAGAGGTGTTAATCCCATAAACACTTTTCATAATTATGTAGTAGGTGTTATGAATAACGCTGTCATGTAATGATTGATAGCATACGCCATATAAACTGGGCGTCTTATTGTGAATGCAAATAATAGTTCCATATGGATGCACATGATTATTATTATTATTATTATTTATTTATTTATTTTTTTTTTTTGGGGGGGGGGTCATTTTAGTTAAAGTTATTAACATTTTGATTTTTTCAACAATGTTAATCATACAATACTTTTTACGTTATATGTTACTTTAACATATTTTATAATGGAAACGTTTTTATTTATTTGCCCTTGTTCATCTCTGATTCTTTTTCATAACGGTACAAAGATATGAATGAGAAAGGAGCACTTTCTACAGTTATCTATCCCAAAAAGTTAGAAACGCTGCGTAAACTTTAAACATTCATTTCACACTTTTGATAAACGTTATCTATCCCTCATCTTCTTTGTTTGACTTTCAGTTATTCAATGTGTGTAGCATTAATGTTCTTTTATGTTCCATTCCAGGTAACGTAGTATCCACCAACGGTCAGCGCCCCTACCAATCAACGCACTTGTCTCCTTCATCGTCATCGTCGGGATCATCGTCGCATTCGACGAGCGCTGTTGGTCTACCATCTTCCCAAACCCTAGCGCGTTTCACCATGAGGGGTCCGTGTTTCCGACGAGTGAGCTCCTCTCATTGCATGGCCCCTCTCAGCGATATGACTACCCTCCATGATGATTGCTGCTCTACTGTCGGACAGGGATGGGGTAATGGATGTTACGCATGCCCACAGGTGTTAGGTAAGACCTATGGATAAGAATGTTGCCTGTAGAAAGCAAAGCAAAAATAAATATACAAATAAGTAAAATAAAACAACATACATCACACTCAGTCAAAGCGATAAGACCAACAGCAGACTGACAACAATAGTATGAATGCAGGGCCCACAGGGATAACAATATTGATTAGGCTACCTTAGATAAACAAGACAAGTTATTATTATCATTATTGTTGTTGTTTAAAAATATATATATAAATATTATTATTATTACCATTATAATTAATATTGTTATTATCAATATTATTATCTCACCGAAATCTATAGATTCTGTAGATCGTCCGTTTGGTTGTTCCGATTTTCATTATGTCAATATCGTCAATTTCCTACTTACAATATTACAGCATTTACGGAAGCTAACAATATTAGTTGTAATGATCAAATCCCATCGCAATTATCATAATGGAGAAGCGGATGGGGGAGGGGGGTGGGGGGGGGGGGGGGGAGGTTAGTCTCACAGTCAGTGGCACCTCTACATGTTTACTTGACTCATGTTTTTATAGCCCTATACACCCCCTCTAGCGACGCTCTTGAATGTCAAAGCCATGATGGCTACACAGAAACATGACGAGTTGATGGATTGTTTGAATACATTAGTATGAGCATAGTCTATCATACATAGACCACCCACTTAATAATGGAATACTATACATTATGTTCATTGACATATTTAATCCCCTTTCGATCTGTCGTGTAGTATTCGTCAAAGATAAAGCCAGCAAGTTGCACGCAAAGGAAACCCATTTCGTTAGTAATAGTGGGAGGAATAATAGGGAAACTGGTAATTATTCGGAATGGTAAGATGTGAAACAAAGCTGAGATGATATACGAATCTTTATAGTCTTCTATTCTTGAAAAAATGAAATTCAACAAAGAACATGTGTTTAGTACACTGAACTCTCCAAGTAATCTTATACCCCTGGGACTGCACATGTCACCATAACATGAACTAGGTTTTTGTTGCTGTATTATAATCGCAGTCTAGAAGTCAGGGTATGTTCTAATCTTAAGTTTGAAAGCTAATCTTCAAGTCTTGCGTGTCTATACTCTATTGAAGTTATGAAACTGTTGACTGACTACTCCACATGGGATGAGCTAATTTCACTGTGGCTATACAAGAGAATTTGGGTATATATATATATATATATATATATATATATATATGGATTCTCATCTTCTCTCTTCGATGTCATATTTTGAAGCGCAAAAGTCTTTTACGTGTTGTCAAAATGACGTCCCAATATTCGACATATTGCAAACGATTTAATTTGAGATTAAACAAAAAGAATAAATTACGTATTAATACAGAATGAAATTTATTTAAGTGGAATGAAGAAAATACTTGAACAAATGCATAATGGAGATGGATAATAAATATGTGTAACTACATGCAACTAAGTATACATTGGAACTTTTAACAAATTCGCCTCTAATGAATTGACTCAGAACAAAATTCCATATTTCAGCAACAACTAAAAAAACGAGACGGTTATACATGTATCAGTCAATTGTTATAACACAAGGGTGAACGAACGTAAGGTTTCACGGTCCAGTTCTTGTCCTGTCACCCAAATATGAAGCGACACTTTTCATTCTTTACAGATTTGTTCACATTCTAACAAGCTAGTAAATAGTTTAGTCAGGTGACGTAGCTGAAAGCTACATAAAGCCACATAATTGTTCGCCATTATGCTTCCTCATATCAGTATTGTAACTATAAAAGGGTTTTCTTTTTGTTGCCTGTGTATCGAAATTGGGAGAGATTTTGTGTTATGCCCCTCCCGGGCACCGGCATATTTATAAACACTTGCATGTTATCTTTTCCCGGTGAAAGGGAAGTGGAATTTATCATACAGCCGATAGGGTGTCGTACGTTTTGTCATTTTACAAGTGTTTGTATTTTTCTTGAAAGAATGTGTGAACTCGGTCAAAATTGTCACATTAAATCCTTCAAAATCCCCCACAAACATTAAGAAAGCCTGTAGGATTGAGCTAATCAAAACGTGTTGGTCTCAACCTATCTCTCAAATACTCCGCTTCGAGCTCGTTTGCTCTAATCTTTATTCATCCCCCTTTCTGCCTTAAAGCTATGGCTCGTTCCAAAAATATCTGAACTCCAGCTTTCGGATCGTGTCTTTCGAATGAAGGGGAATTGTTTGATAACAAACAAACATTTTCCTTTCCTTTTTTTCAAAATTGTGAAAAAGAAAGAAATACTGTAGACTGATCGGCTGATAAAGTTTCAGTGCCATACCCAAAGGCATACGAATAATCCATACGTTTTGGTTTGCCAGTAATGTCCATAGCCACGGGACTTTCTTCCGTAGATGTGAATTTGTTGGTAACAATAAATATTTGTCTATGAATATTTGACAGTGAATCGTATAAGTTTATGTGATTTCTTGTGAGATAAACTCTCCATAACATTTTGCTGATATTTAAAAAGCGTTGGTTGAGTAGAAATAAAATCCCTTCCTGTTAATCTCATTTGAATATCTTCTGAATGTAATGGGAGATTAGCTAAATTTAAACAAGCGTGTTTATTTTAGCTATTTTAATTATACTTTTTGTGATAAACAAACATTTGCTCATTAAAAAAAAAATTGTCAATTACAAACGATGAAAAATATTTACCAAATTGCTTAATTGAGTGGTTTATGTATTGATGTCAGGTGAGTCTTTATCAACACGTTATTATAAGCTTTCCTGTGTAATGAAATTAGAACAATAGAAGCGATAGATTAAGTATTGGTGCATAATCACTTGACCCAAACGATATCAACCAAAATGAACACCGAAGCAACAATCGTAACATAACTGTGGACCATAAATGGAACAGTAGGAGGAACATTGTGATTAAAACAATGAGCAATAATTGTTATCATCTTCATATCCACTGGATGGGTTGACGTGAGCTCCGTTTTGTAACCATTTTTCCTATTCCAAAACAGATCTAGCAAGGATATAATAATTTTAAATAGTTTTAAATCATGAGATTAAGATCATTATGAATTGAAGAACAAATTATGGAGCATTGTAATTGAATTTATTTTAAAATCAGAGTACATGTATGTGCGTAGTCAGGGAGACTATGACGTCAAATGAATTGTTGACTTGATTTCTGTTGTCTCTACAGGGCAAGAACTACATTGTCCCAGCGGATTCAAGAAATCACCGGATACAGGAAATTGCATTGGTAAGTTTATCAAGTCGTCTAACCTTTACAAAAGACCTCCTACTAAAATTAATTTAGATTAAGATAGTTAAACTTAAAATATTTTTTTTGGGGATGACAAAGTATGGTATTCGTGTTGTACCTGTGCTAAATGTTCAGGATATATTGTTTGCATCTGTTATCATTTAATGCTCCCCTACCCCCATTTATTTAACACTATTTTAAGTTTGGTTTGTAGGATTGTAGGTTGAATTTCACAATTAGTCCGTATATCTTTTTTTAATCGAGAAGATTGATTTTTATTGATTATGATATAACTCTTATTCGTTTTTTGTTATTCAATTAGAAATACGACTATTGATATACTAAATTTTAAATTGATACATGTATAGTAGTTCATTTTGTAGAAAAAAAAAGAGTCGTAATTACTCATAATTTGAAAAGTACAAGAACCATCGTCATTTGTTATTTTGGGCACGTATTTAGCTTTAATCGTGTAATAAAATAAAGCGAAAGCGATGTATATATGAATGCATAACATTTCATCAGATATTTTCATGTTGATAGATGTTATTTCATCAAAAGCCCATCGCCTTCTTTCTTCCAGATGTGGATGAATGCAATGCATTTGACAACATCTGTATGCACGGCTCATGTCTGAACTCACAAGGTAGCTACAGGTGTCGATGTGATCAGGGATACATGTCAGATACGTCTGGAACGCAGTGTGTAGGTGAGTACTGCAATTGGAGGTTGGGGATATTATAGGTGTGGCCACTGGGTGTAGCCGCTTGATACGGTTTAGTAGGTGCATGTGCTCTTGTAGCTAAGAGTTGAATGCGATGAATGGTACATGTTGGATACATCGACGCTGTGTGTAGGTGAGTACTGCACTTTGAAGAGGGGAACATTGTAGGAATGGCTACTGGATAAGATCACTGATAGTGAGATCAAGATGTGGCCACTGGTATACAGTTAAGAAGATGCACGTATAAGGGTAGCTTCAAGTTTAATGCGATGAGGGGCACACATCAGCACATAGTAGGTGAGGCCATTGGATGAAGCAACTGGACATGCTGGACGTGGTTTAGAACATGCATGTGTAATGGTGGCTATTTGTTGAATAGTGTGCCCATTGGGTGTGACTTTTAAGTTGAACCGCTGGGTGCAGTTTTTAAAGGTATAGGCCAGTTCTGGTCATGCGATTGCATTGTGAAAGAAACGTTGTGGAATCGATCAGAAAAGGTTGATCATCTAGCATAAGTATAGTACTGCAAGGTTCTGGCTCAGTCTTTAAAAAGTAACAAGCACTGTTCCCAGGAAGACTATGTGATATCTATCCAGGCCGGATCAATATGATTTTGAGAGGGGGGCGTTTCCAAAACTAGTCTATACCTTTAAGGTGCAGGCAGAAGGGTATCTCCGGGTCGCATGGTCGAAAATGTCTGGTACACAGTCATATTGATAATACACTCACACTGTCCTTCGAATTGCTTTATTTCTAGCTTGACGGGAAGCTTTTAACTTTAAGTACCTGCATTACGGTTATTTATCCGCGCATTTCATACATACCAGAAAAAGAGAGTGACTATAAGAGTTTACCTTTTTTTTCATCTCCATTTTCTTTCCTCTATATCGATCCCACTATAGACCTAGTTTTCCATTTAATTTATTTTACTCTCTGTGCTTCTGAGCTTCACAGTCGTCCGTTTGATATCCTCGTGTATGGGTTTAATACTGTATATATTTAATGACAAGGGTTTAATCTCTCTTCCTTTATACAACAAGAAAGGTAGGCCTCGTATAACCTTTTCAGATGTAGAGACTCGGTCCTTGAAAATGAATAAGGGCCTCTTTCTCAATCCATTCACTTGTTGATCAAAACATGATAGCGTTCCCCTTTTAGAGGTGTTTATGCGGTACATGCGTTCTATACCAGCCCGTTTAACTTTAAGATGATGTTTTTAACGCCATTGGTGTGTATAAACAACCATTCCTGGTTTAAACCGATAAAGAATGTTTTGCATCCTAGGTTCGATTCAATCAATTACGTTTTTTTTTTACGGGGCTTTGATTTGTATAGAGTTGAATTAGTACTGACGACCCGAGAACGTAGAAGGAAACGTGTAAATTGATGAGGGACCTGAGAAGTTTTGACGTGTGGCACGTATTTATTTTTCAACAAAACTTCTGTAAGCACATCGCCCATAATAATTATGTCAATTACGTATTGTTAAGGTACTATCCAAGCGAAGCGTGTTTGCATGTCTTATATAGACCACCTTGTTTATAAGATTGTGTGTGGTCTTAATGGTTGCACGTACCTTTCTCTATCATCTTCTTCTTTTGTTATCACACATTTTTATGCTGTTGATTCATTCTTGTGTCAAAAAATTAATAGACAAAAGTCTTGACGAAAGACACCTCGCTTACGTGCAAAACCGTTTCTTAGTGTGTTGTCTAGTAAATGCTCGAAGCATTGAAAGAAAAGCTTTTTACTTTTTATTAGAATGTTTACGAACTTACTTTTCTTTTGCTTCGTCCCTGAAGTATGATCTGATAATACCAAGCACTTTTCAGCCTCTAGATCCTGCATGTATGGCACATAGGAAAACAGGAAGACTTATTAATAGCAGGTTAAAGTAGTACTAATGTCATCCGAAGAGAAAACAAAAGTATGACCTACAAATATTAAAATGATAAAAAAGAAACGGCACAAATAATTTTTGGAACATGTTGGCTGCGTAAATAATGAAAAATAATTAGAGAGGACAGATTTTATTAAAGTAGAGTATAGTGTTGTGTTCATTGTTGATTTGTTGATTTGTTAATGATCTTGAAAACAGGTCTCAAAGCTGAAAGTAAAAAAAAAAGATTATTCTAAATAGTTCATATCATTATTTTATGTTTCGCTATGCTCGTTGATACTTGGAAATGTGGGAATTCAACTGTATATTTTCTCCTCGTACACATCTCCGATTAGTTTCTTCTTTTTCTTTGTTTCTTTGTATTTGTTATCCAGACATGGTTGAATGTGTCATCGCTGAATATCTTGACTCTCAGTCGCATTCCTTCTAGTACGATCATGTTTATTGTTTTGCGGATATTGTTGTGCCATATCTCACGTAGTTTCCCTTCTAATCATGAATTCACTTTCAACTGGTTACAAGCTGAGAAAGAGAGTGAGAGAAGGGAAGAGAGAGAGATAAAGAGAGAAAGGGTGCATATTGGAGGGGGGGGGGGGAGGGTGTTCTGGGGCTTACTTTTTCGATTCCCGGAACATCGCCTGACAATACTTTTACTGACCTTGCATTTAATGGAATATCTAGCATTCTTTTCACGACTTATATTATAATATGAAAAATGCTGCCTTATTCAGCTTTTAACAATCCCGAAGGACGATGAAGCATGATGAAGGCTCTAATTACAGATGTTTTGTCTGAACGTTTTACCAAGGGACACAGAACTATTTCTTTCCGATATACTTTATTTCATGGTATATTTCTATACAATCTGTTAGAGTTGATACATTTATTTGATAAGAGAAAAACATAATGCGTGTTTCATAATCATCATGCTCATTGCATAGACCTATGTTCATTGTCATGTCATGCAATATCGAGTTGACATTAATGTTTCTTTTGACGAGTCGTCCTTTTGGGACCATGCAGTCTCTGCCCTTTGTGTGCTGATCTTTATGAGGATGGTCCATCTTTCAGTAAGCACTTTAGCACTAATCTCATCCTGTGTATTCCTAGCACTGATTGTGTGTTTGTTATTCAAACACCTAGAAGGAATGGGACTTCTTATTTCAGTCGTTGCCCAACATGTCAACACCCCACCCTGTAGTGCATGCTTGACCTCTAGATCTGACCCGTATCTGCCATCTCTCAAGCGCGATATCCAATCTTGTCCAGTGACTGTGTCCGTCCGTGCATGCGTGCTCACAACACTGCCACACCCCAGGGGCGTATCCAGAATTTGGCCAGCAAAAGGGGGGGGGGGAGGTGGGGGGGGGGGGGTAGCTCTTAATCGAAGGATCACAAATGCTAGAGGATCTAGGAGCATGCATCCAAAGAAATGTATAAATATTATAGCTATACGTTTTGCTAGATCCCTCTCTTTACTCCGGTGTATACTCCACAATTGTATACATTGCATCGATTAGCCGGGAGATCCCCCCCCCCCTCAGATCTGGGCCAGAGGTGATGAAAAATGAATGAAATATAGCGGATGAATATACTATTTCCTAATTGATAAGGCCGAGACATGTTATATATTTATCATGTTGTATTTTAATGATATCCACCTTCCCACACCAATCCGTTCTCCCACACTACATTATATAAGATTTGATTTGTTGTTGTTGTTGTTGTTGTTCTTCTAGTTTATTTATTTACTTGTGCGCTGATCAGTTTCCAACTTCCAACTTCCATCTAATAACCGAATCCCTAGCCTGTCAAAGTGAAACCAATTCCAGGCATGTTTACTCTCTCCCGGGGTCGAACTTGAACCAGCCATTGCCCACCTCTCGCTTAAATGCGTCATCAAGCCTTAAGGGATTCATTTATTCAATTTCATTCGGATTACAAGAAAATGGCCACCAGCCTATAGCTTGATTAGTTAGACACAAAGCCCCTAGTTCACAATGTTTCTAAATTTAGCATCCCTTGTTATCACAAGCAATCCCATGCACTATTTCTGCTTTACTTTGTCCTACGTACCACTTAAGTATTCATCAGATAAAACTGACATCATATACATGGACTGATCAAAATTGACGTGATACCCAAACACCGTGTTTTGAAAGCTTGTACAGGTCAAGGTCAATGAATTATTAGTCAATTTATTCTTCCTGAAATACTGTTTTAGTGAGCCAATTAGATAGACCAGCAATGAAAAATGTATAAAATTATCACAAGAAATCTCTCATACCTTTTTTGAATTTGTGTACATAGGCCTATTCTTTATCGAATTGTTATGTACCCCGAAGTTCGTTACATCTTCCTTGTTTACCGTAACGATTGTGAACTTGGAAAATAGTAGCCTCGTTGGTATGTTTTAAAAGCCTCTATAAATACTTTAATCGAGGTATATTCGTTGTTGTTCGTTCTTAAATTTTGGAAGAGCCCCTACCCTGCAATATTTGTATTTGTGAATTGGTGTGACCTGGGTGCATGTGAGTTTGCTTGTGTGTAGGGAGTTGGTATGCGACCCCGCTACAACTATCCCCATATACTGAAACGATCTGTTCCATAATATCATTAAACTAGAGAAATTTCGACCCGCTACACAAGCATCAGATTAAGTCACCGAATGCTGAGTTCCACTAACTCGTACTTGATTAGAGAAGTTTAAAAATAAAGTAATAAATGAATTGCGGATAACTCTTTGTACCAAAAGTCACCCCCATTTAATTCAGAATTAACCGCTTGATAAATCGTTGTTGATTTTGAAATGTGTGCAATAGCGAACAACCAACATTCAGCATTTTAGCTTCTTCTTGTTAAATGAAACCTCATTAAATGTGACTAATACAATCAAAGTATCAACAGTAACAGCAAACGAATGTGGAATTCTTTTCTTAAGAAAACATTAAGAAAACAAGAGAAATGTATAAAGCCTGGGTGCTTAAATTTTCATTAGTATCGCCGTCACAGATCATTATATGAACATTTCCATTGTACAATGAATAATTTCTGTCACATTCTAAAGCCTCAATTTACCAGGGAA